TGGCCCTCTTACGGACCTGCTCCAATAGGTCCATGTCTTTCCTGTGATGAGGGCTCCAGAGCTGGACGCAGTACTCCAGGTGGGGTCTCACCAGAGCAGAGTAGAGGGGCATATCCACTGCTATAATAAGACATACTTCAGAGGGCAGAACATTGAAAAACATGACCCATACCTATAGACATATGTAAGTGCGTAGTTTTGTTCCCAGTATGCAGCTTGGCATGTATGAAATGCCATATTGAAATGTGAGTACCTGATCTTGCTCTGAGATCCTTTAAAATGGACCCAGCCTCAGCCAGATCCAGCAGGAGGGAGGGTGCAGTCAGAGTAGAGGGAGGACTCCCCTGTGCTGCCTAGGGAGCACTGTGCACTTCGTTTGGCAAAGTGGAGCGATGCACACTTTTGTCTTTCCCTCAGTCCCCAAGTTTCTGATTCCTATTCTGTTTACATCTGCACAAATTTCATGCCTTTTCCTTTATATCAGTCCTAACCAAATGCCAGGCTGTGACAGTGTTAAACATTCCCGTTCTCTATGGGACATACTGGTGCAGACTGTACGATATAAGGAGATAGGAATAATGCAGAAAGTGTGCAGAAATTTGCATCCCTGGCATCAGTCAGATCTCTATCATTTACTTCACTGGGCACAGGATCTGCCTCACAATAAGGAAAATTTGTGAGTGGAGACGACTGTCCAAAACTCCCAAGCTATCTGTACGAAACACGAACACTGTGAAAATACAACCAGTGTTCTTCAGAAACCTGAAATCTTCCCCTTCTACTCCAATTTCTTGTTTATATTATTTTGATGGAAAAGAGAACCATCAAACCAAATGTCGTTAGCTCTTTGGCAAATCTGGTTTTGTAATAAAAACTTGCTCCCTTCCAGAAATATGTTCTCCACATGGAGCATCTCCCTGCAAGACTAGGAACTATGTTTTCAGGTCTTTTATGCTCCTAGGCATTGCAGATACTAAAAGACCCTTTTTTCTGCCATGAATTTGCATAAGGTATTTATCTTGTCCCTTTCTTTTTGTATGTCTAATTGTACAAAGTAATCAGTATGGAAGACACATCACTAGGCCTTATTGTGTGCATTATTAATGTGTTAATTTTTAAATAAGATACTAAATTAACTGTGAGCAATTTTTATAAAGGGAAGCATGAGACTGCCATATCTTACACCACTCCATATAAAAAATATATTTTAAATGGAGGTCATTCAAGTAAATAGTCAATCAAACCTTCTGGAAAAAATAGGTCTACGTTTTTGCAATATTTTCTTGCTATTAACCATGTGCTTCTCATTTTTATTCCCTGGATTAAAAATTGCCCCATAAATTGTTATTTTATAATATGCTTAATTTCCTTTTATTAAATTGATAAATGCAGCAGCAGAGGACACATTTACAGTATGATGAGAATTTAAGGTTATTGCATTTTATAATTTTTATATTGTTCAGAGAAGCGATTTGTCATTTGTGGAATGACATCCATGCCATCATTTCAAAGTATTTTTAGTCATTCTTTTGTTGGGAAAAAGGTCACTTTCTGTAGACCAGGAAGACATCACTCTTATTAAACTATTTGCCTACATGCAAATTTTGTCATTTTTACCTCATTAACTATTTATCACAGAGTAAAAAAATATATATATTCATGAAGGGGCAGCTAGCAGCCTGATGGAGCTGGAACTAATATTTTGCAACTCTAATGATTTTTTGCATCCTTAATTAGATAGCATAAGGTTGATATGATTAGGTCAGGATGTAGTGTTTTTCATTAAAATACATTTTAGAAGCTGTATTCATAATCTGCCCTTGCAATTAAATAATGAGCCTATGAGTTTAATATTATCGACCCAATTATTATCCCATGGAAAAGTATACCTTTAATAAATTTGTGCCGTAGGACCTTCATTAGCAACAAAACGAATTATATTTCCAGGTACACAGATTACACGGCCACAATCACATTTACGTAGCAGTTTGGAAGGCACTGTAGGGAGAGCGCCACCAAAGCCCCTTACCATACAGAAATGCACTTGATTATTTTGGAAGAAGTCATTTACAATGCCTTTAATGAGGAAAGCTGCAAAGAAGTAAAAATGCCACCGACAGAGGCAGACAGAAACATCTGTAGAAACAAACATTTGCAGGAAGAGTGTTCTGGCCACCCTTTGCTAGGAGGAAGCCTGGACCTTCATTCCTCAACCTGTTACAAATATGGAGGCAGAGCTGAATATTTGCTGACCTTTTACTGGAGATGGGCACGTGTTAAATGTATGTGAAATTTCAGAATCAGGAATATCAGGACCAATGGCAGACAGGAATACATTAACTTGCCATTGATGACAGCAGTTCAGTGATGAGGTCAGGACTCTGGATTTTAGCCAACCCTTTCTTTTTTTTGGTAGATGTGACAAAAGTGACAATGACTTGCTGTCCTCATGAAGTAATCAGTTACCCAAAGTTAAGTGACAGTTCAGAGCCACAGTAGCAAGCGGGGTTTTCTTCTGCCCAAGCAGATAAGAATTTAAAAAAATAAAAGGAAAAAAAAAAAAAAAGAGGAAAGCATTTCTAGTAAAACAGGTTCTGACCAGGGATCATTTTCTGAATGGGGTCTGTTGTGGCTGGATCC